GTCCCTTAAACATAATTTTGTCCCTAAATTTTGGTCTCTAAAACCTTAATTTTTTGTAGTGTGATAAATGTTTTTCCATTTTAATTTTGCATTTCATAACTTATTTTAAAATGATAATTTAGCTAAATCTCAGGGGGAATCTATAATTTAGCTAAACCTCAGGAGAAAATTTGTAATTTAGCTAAACCTCAAGGGGGTGTAGGTAATTTGTCCTTATTTGTCAAAAGGGCATTTTAGTCAATTTATGATAACTGTTAACGACGTTAATTGCGATGGAGCGGGATATAATTTTTAAATCTCAGGAAAAAATCTGTAATTTCGTTAAATCTCAAGGGAGGTGTATGTAATTTGCCTTAATTTTATTATCTAACCAAATGACCAAAATGGTCAAAATCTTAACCCAACCAACCACACAGCTCTAGCCAATAACCTAACTTCGGTCATCACAGCCCTAGTTTCAATTACCTTTTCTCAACCCTTTTCGTCACACCCTAACCCTTTTTCACCCTCTAGGACCACCACTAAACCTTCTCTATTCACTAGCATTCACCGTCATCACCACTGCCGTAACTGACAACCCTCTCACCATCCTCTGCAAGTTTATATTCTTTTTTTTTTCCTTTTTTTTTGCACTACACTTGCTACTGCCGTACTCCTCCTTATATTTCTTGTTTTTTTCATTTACCATCGTGATTCTCTTATCTATGACCCTCTTTCATCGCGGACTCTCTTTACAACTCATTCTTCTTCTCTTTCTCTATCTCTTAGGGTTTTAGGAGAAGGATAGAAAAGCAAAAAAATAGATGTAGCAGATGACAAACAATAAAGGGAAGGAGTGGTGAACAATTGTGAAGAGGTGGGAGGCATCTTGAGAAAGAAACGATGCTAAAGGAGGCTTTGACAATGGTAGAGATTTCAATAGCAAGTGGATGAAAGGGTAAAAGTGAAATTAATTGGGTTTTTTTGGGTTGTTTAACAAAATAAATTCAAAATTAGGATTGGGGTGCTAAACCAAAATTTTTGGAAAATTCTATTTCCACACACCTAATTAGCTCAAGGCACATATTTTCTCAATCTATACACCTATTAATTTGATTATCAATTAATTTTCTCAATTCATATACTTAAAGTTACAATTACACCATTCATTTAAAACCATTGTATACACACCACTAACAAAGCAAAATTCCTTAGGGCAACCAGATTTCAGGACTAGCAAAGCCAGAAGCGATGTTACCAAGTATCCTGTCCTTGGATGTATGTGCAGTGATTCAAATTCACATTCCTCATGATTCGACAACTCCAATCTTCCTATGTATTGAGGTCTTCATTAGAATGAGTGCATTGAGATGGAGCGCAATGGAAACTAAAAGTGTCTATTGGTCAGAATATGGTCTTGAAGTGCAACCATTGCAGCAGATGGCAAAGAGGTCAGCTTTGGAGATGAGCTGTCACTATAATTCACTTATGTTGCCACGGTCCAATATACTTTTCCACTTGCTTATGTACAAATACACTACGAATAATTTTTTTTAGGGTTATAATACCACAATTGATGATATAGCTGCATTTTTTGATTCCAGAGAGAAAAAAGATAGGGTTGCCTGGGGAGAGGGATAGGAATTTTTCAGATTTAAAAAAAAGAAAAAAAATTCTATTCATTCTTTGTAATGTGTCTATGTATGACTAATCAATAAATGTATATATATATATAGAGAGAGAGAGATGTGTATTTCCACTGAGATTGTATTATATTAGGCTCTTTAATGGTTTCTATTAAGGCATGAATTGTCTATTATGTTCTGATCTATTTTAAGCAGTGGGTGTTGGAGTTTACAAGCAATAGTTGGAGTATTATTTATAGGTTGTAATGTCAAAGATATTTTGAGAGTATTGTTTTGCAAGTAATAGAGGAGTATAGAGTGTGTAACATGCAAAGTGACAACAATGGAAAAGTTAGGGCTTATTTTTTTTAACTCAAAAGATGTACATTAAGATTTTTTGTTCTTAAAAAATGTGTACATAAAATTTTTGTATATAATATTATGGGTGTTGCTAGATGTCTATTATGGTCATTTTAATTTAAGATATAATTGTCATTAAATTAAAAATTCATTAAGTGTGTCCCCTGAGTTAATTAGGTGTGTGGAAATTGAATTTTTAGGAAATTTTATTTCCGCACACCTACTTATCTCAGTGCACATCATTTCTCAGTGCACACACTTAAGTGATTATTAATTATTGTTCTCATTCTACACACTAAATATTTCAATCATACCCTTAACTCATATCTTGTACATACACCACCTCAACCTTCTTTTCACACACTCTCACATTAATCTAGGCCCTCTTATAGAGTTGATGAACAATTCGTCCAAGGCCAAATCAATGTAGTAGATCTATAATCAAGAGTAAATTATGATCAAGAGGAAATTAAAGTTTTAACAAAGAGCAGCTTTGAATCCAAAAGAATTCCATCTCCATTATCTTCATTAACCTCTATCATCAAACCCATCTTTCTATTTTCTAAACAAGCCCTAGTATTTCTATTTGCAAGTTGATTAGTTGAATGAAATCTCATATGGCTCTTTGCTATTAAGATATTCAATTTGTATTTTTGCTTCATCATGATAACGATTTGGTAGTTCATATATAATGAAAATGTTAGATTTAGCCATTGCCAATTAAGGTCTGCAATGTATTTTCTCCAATGGTAGTTCATATATAATGAAAATGTTAGATTTTGCTTCATCAGCTTCTTTTCAGTTAAGGTTTGGTTTTAGGGTTTAGTTCATAAGAGTTTATTGTAGAATGTTAGATTTAGCCAATTAAAAAAGGTTTTTTTTTTTTTCTCTCTCAAAAAAAAAAAAAGAGTTAATATGTAATGAAAATTCATCCACACAACCAAGAATTTTTAATTATTTTATAATGCTTTTATTTTTAGTTGGATGTATAAATATGTGATCTCAATATGTTTTGTTGACTAGAAAACTAATGCTAAGAAGAAAGAAAAAAGATCATAAAAATCTCCTAATCTACTGTGTTTGCTATTGTTTTTGTCTAAAATAAAGGAATTAGGGTTTAGTTTTTTTTTTATTATTAAAAGATGTATACTCAGATTTTTTTTGTTTGTAAAAGATGTATATAGGGATTATTTTCATATACTATTATAGGTGTATTTTGATGTCTATTATGGTAATTTTACTTTAGAATATAATTATCATTAAAATAATGATTTATTAAGTGTGTACTAAGATAAGTAAGTGTGTGGAAATAGAATTTCTCACAATTTCCCAAAATTTTTGAAGTGTATTTAGAGCCTCCTGAAACAAACACTAACCCTGAACTTTTACATATTTACCCTCCTTGGTTAACTCTTTATGTATCCTTATAGCCAAATAATCCTTTCCAAACATTCGTGACCTGCTCAAACTTTACATTTTTTTTCCTTGCAAAAAACACCAATGAACAAACCACTTACAAACCAGTAAACCTGCTCAAAATTCAATCTATAATCAATTCAAAAATAAATAAAACCTATTAAAACTCAAATGACAAAATTCTCATCCCACTTTGAGAAACCAAACTCACTCTACAATTAAAACATTGATAACGACAGAACATTATTGTGTGGTGTGTGAACCCAAAACTTATTTATCAACCTATTTGTTGGTACTCATGAATAACGTTTGATCAAGCAAAGAAAAAGCATTGGTATGTGCACACCTATTTTCTTTGACTGAGATAATAATGTTACATATTTTATATAGGCATTACTATTAAAATTCAAAAGTTACTCACTTTTTAAATTTAATCACGTGACAATTAATTAAAATATCTAAAATAATTTTTTCTTATATGTTCCATAATCATTAATCAGTTATCTCTCTTACACATCGTTAGGTCCACAAAGTGAGTTTAAAAAGTAAAATTATGTATCATTTATATATATATATATATATGTATATATGTGTCCCATAAAATTTGATTCGCAGAGAGAGCCAAGCTACTCTGCTTGTAACTCTTTGATTTGCTTGCTATACACACACACACACACACACACAAAAACTCATAAATGATAATAATAAAAAGAAAAAGAAAACCTGCTTGATTTGCATCCTTGAATGCAGTTTACTAGTTTAAAAAGCAACTTGAATATTTTAGCTAACGCTAATATTCAGCTTTGCGCTAACTGTTTTTGTTCATCCCAACATTCCCCACTTATCCAACTATTGCTAGCAGTTTTAGATATTAAACAGACCTCCCCATAAGGTGATTTGAATGTCGCTGATTACCCCTCTTTTGCAATCAATTTTGATATAGTATCCACCGCTCTGACTAATTGCCCACCATGTCCATGTGTGCTGCTCTTGCTCACAGGGATTACATCTTTCCTCTCCTAAGTTCCCTTCTACCAAACAAGAACAATTTCATATAGCTATAATAATTTCAGTTCTTTCCGTCTTTCAAGGGTAGGTATAGACATGGATTAGAGTACTACAAACACGATAAGAGCTGAGTTCTCACTGGTTCGATTTGTGTCCGATGTATATAAATCATCAAAGAATAGACAACAACAACGACAACGTCAACAATTCCTTGGGGCGAAGGGAAAAGTCACTCGAATAAGAAATTATTCAGCTATGTAACATAACCTCACAATGTCCTGGTCCCTAGATTTACCTGGGATCTTGATAAAACTATTACAAGGGAATTACATGAACAAGTGAAGTCAAGGCTTTACTTGAGAGGAAACCCCATGTAATACTTTGTTCCAATTAGTCCATAGATGGATCTTTGAATATAAGTCCCCAAGTCATCATCTGTTTGGACCTGCTTGGACGTGCAACTGAAGAGAGCATACTCGCCAACGAATTTTTTTATCTATGCTCAATATAACACTATCCACTCAATGTTTTATATCGCAGGTCTATGATCTCATTCTACAGCACTATCCATATTTTTCCTGCAGCCGTTAAAACGTTAGCGGGATCTCTTATGACATTTCTGAGGGTGAGGACGGGCAGAGAAAAACAAATGAAAAAAAAAAGGACTTAGTCACTAGTCTTTATCAAACTTTGAAGTCCACACGATGAAGTCTGAAATTAGTCTTATGATGATGGTATGCCAACCAACAGTTCTTGAGATCCTCGTAGGTGTCCTGGGACACGTTGTCTTATCTCTTCAAAAGCACACAACGTTTCTGAATCAAGCCCTCCAGCAAACTGCAAGCATGTAAAAACACAAGTCATTAGGAAAGTTGTTGCAGATCCCAAGGTAGTGTCACACATAGTTAAACCTTCTTTAGTCTCTACTAAAACAAGAGTGTTATATGTACTCAACAAACATTTCAGACAAAACTAGCTTCCTAGATTAGAATTAGGCTAAATATATCCCAAATGCAGCGTAATATTGCCAGACTTCCCTGATGCAGACCCAACAACTGAGCATATTGCATCGCAAGGAGCCCTGCCTTCACGAAATACAGATTTTCTCACACCCATAGGCCATATACCATAGTGGCACATAAGTTAAACCAACTACTAGAAATGTAGAAAATGATGTAAATTTGACAGTGCATGCTTCCCAGCGTCATCTAGGGGAAGCTCCAAGCTAAATATATCACAATTTCTAAGTAGTAATTATCAACTTCCAATCCATCAAATAATAGATAAATAATGTAAACTTGGCTTATGGTAAAGGGAAATTAGTATTTATTGGGAGTTGAAGGAAAAGTCAACTACTTGCTACAGTTATAAGCTAAGTAACACTAAAGTTTGTTCATTCATTTTAAAGCTTCCATGATGATCAGCAATGTTTCAGATGCAGCCCCACATCTAACAGTATTTAGAACTTGGAAGTACTTGATATGTTCATCTTGGAACATGAAGACTTTGGAGAGCATTCCATGCATTTACAAAACACATACACAGGAAGAAACCAATCAATCTTGGTTTTAGATATGGCTATTTGCTTTGCGCAAAGCATTACACACTTAAGAAGCAACAAACACTTTTGGGCACATGTTGCAGTTGTGAGAATGTGTTCTCCTTTGTCCTTATAGGATTAGGAATTAGCGTCCTATTAGACTTCTATATATCAGTGATGTATTCATGTAGGATTAGGAATTAGTGTTCTATATAAATGATGTATTCTTTGTCAATCAATTCAATCTAATATACAGCTTCATTAAGAAAACTTACATGGTATCAGAGCCACTGTCAGAACCCTAGAAGCCTTTTGCTATTTGCTGACTCTGAGTTGGCTCTGGTTCGTAGTTCTTCCCTTTGTTTCGTGATTGGTTCTCCCTCGCGACTGGGTCTCTGTCACCTTTGATCCGTGGCTCAGTGTGAGTCGCTGGTCCAGTGTGATCCGTGGGTCTCTGGCGCATCTCTCTACATTGTTGGATTGTGGTTTTCTAGTTCGCTGTCCTCTCTGTCTCGCTGGTTCTCCTTAGGGCTTCGACATCGTCGCAATCGAGTCCTCTGGTTATCTTTTTCGCTCTCTCGCTCTATGGTTATCTCTCTCTCTCGTATTGTTATTAGTATCTGAGTTCACCAGTATTTGACCCAACTGTGCTAACTTTCGAATTATTACAGTTTGACCCCTCTGATTAAGTTGTTTTATACTTACCATAAACTTTGCTTTATTACAATGTCGGATACTAAAATCCAAGCCATCAAATGCAAACTCATTGGTGGCAATTATGCCTATTGGGCCAGTGTTATGAAGAATTTTCTTCTTGGTCAGAACAAATGGGACTATGTTTCTGGTTCTGTTCCTCGACCATAGGACCCAAAGGCGGAAGGGTTTCTGACTTCCTGTGACTCTTGGGATGGTGATAATGATCAAGTTCTGACCTAGTTTTATAACTCTGTGGATGATCGTATTGAAATGACGTTTTCCAAGTAAAGTACTGTCAAGGAGGTGTGAGATTATTTACTAGGTGTTTATCAGCAGTCCAACTTTGCTAAGCAGTATGAGTTGAAAACAGCTATTCAGAATGCTCGTTAGCGGGATCAGACTGAACGCTTATCTTGAGTTTCGAGAGCAGGGTCGTTTAGTGCAATTCTTAACGGCTCTCTCCCCTCAGTATGAGGTTATCCGAGGTGGCATCCTTCACCGATCTCCTCTTCCATCTGTAGATGCTATTATTCGTAAGCTCCTCTCCGAGGAAACCCGTCTTAAGATAGCCAGTCAGATTCTGCCTCCTTCTGTCTTCTTGGCTCCTGCCAAGCCTCCCTTGTTATCGACCCCACCTCTTCATCAGCTTCAAGCTACTGCGAAACCCAAGAAAAGACCATTAAGGCCAAATAAGTGTGCTTTCTGCCATCAGAAGGGTCATTGGAAGAACAATAGTCCTAAGAAGGGACGTCAGCCTGCACTGTCTTCTCAGACACAGTTCTGCGGTCCTACCTCGGGCTTTCCGACCTCCTACCGCTTATACTACATCTACTCCGGCTCCCGATCCTGACTTAGCTTCCTTGAGTGCTCAGGTTGCATAACTTCAGCATATTCTGTCCACATCTCAACCATCCCCATCTGCCTCTGCAACTCTCTTCATTCAGGTTTGCTTAAGTTATCTACAGGTATCCCTTCTTCTGTCTGGCTTTTTGATTCTGGTGCCTCTCATCATATAACTCCTCACATTTCCTTACTTCAAAATTGTATTCCCCCACCTGTTCCTATTACTATTAATACTGCTAATGGGTCTGGTATGTTTGTTTTGTCTATTGGGTCTGTCTTACCCTCTGCCATGTCTGCTGTTACTATTCTTTCTGTTCTTTATGTCCCTCAGTTATCTGTCAGTTTATTATCTATCAGTCAACTTGATGCGTCTGGTTTTGATATTATCTTTTCCTCTTCTGTTTATTGTGTGTACGATCGGGTGTCCAAGAAGTAGATTAGGACCGACCGTAGAGTTGTAGATCTCTAAGTGGTTGAAAGCTTGCATCTCCCCTTATCCACCTCTCCAGCTGCACTTTCCTCATTTCAGTTAGATTCACAGTCGAGTTAGTTTTACTTATGGCATTCTCGCCTCGGTCATTTGTCTGTTGACTACTTACGGTCTTTAGCTCAGTCAGGATTGTTGGGTAAAGTTTCTCCTAGTCAAATTGATAAATGTCGAGGGTATAAACTTGCCAAAATGTCAGCTTTACCATTTAATAAAAGTACATCTATTTTTGTTTCTCCTTTTTCTCTTGTGCATACTGATGTTTGGGGACCCTCTGCTGCTTTTACTAAAGGGGGTTCAATATACTACGTGTCTTTTGTTGATGATTGCACCCGTTACACATAAGTTTATTTTATGACTCATAAGTCTGACTTCTACCAGATATACCGTACTTTCCAGTCTATGGTCACTACACAATTTGGGTCCACTATTAAATTGTTGCGGTCTGATTTGGGTGGGGAACACTTTAAAACTGAATTCTGTGAATACTTGGCCAACTTGGGTACCATTCACCAAACTTCTTGTACTGATACACCTGCCCAAAATGGTCGAGCTGAGCGTAAACATCGTCATCTCCTTGAGATAGCTAGGTCTCATTCTCTCTGCCTCTGTTCCGACTCTATTTTGGGGCGAGGCAGTTCTTACTGCTGTTTTTCTTCTCAATCGTATGCCTACCCCCTTTCTTTCTGGTCAGTCTCCTTATGAGGCTCTGTTTTCTCAACTTCGTAATTACTCCCTCCTTCGTGTGTTTGGATCTGCTTGTTCTGTCCTTTTATCTCGTAAAGATAGGACCAAACTTAGTGTCCGGTCTATCCTATGTATTTTTTGGGTTATAGTCTCACTCAGAAAAATTATCACTGTTATAACCCTATTTCGCGTCGCCTTTATGTCTCCTGCCATGTTGCCTTTCTCGAACGTCTATATTACTTTCAACTTCCTCCTTTCACTGCCCCAGTTTCCAAAGAGAATTTGGTTCATATTGATCCATTTCCTTCTGAAGTCCCGTCTGATGAGTACATCTCTACAATTCCTCCTGAGCTTGTTTCATCTTTTCCTCCTGCTTCTCCTCCTCCGTTGTTAGTTTATTCTTGTCGCAAGGCTCCTCCTCCACCAGTTGTCTCTACCCCTGCTGCTGATCCTCATACTTCTGACGACTCTGATCCTGCTGCACACCGATATCCTTCTCGAGCGCGTCATCCTCTAAACAGGTTGGGTTGGTTTAACACTTGTTTTTCTGCTTCCTATCGTACCTTTTTGTCTGCTATTCACTCTTTTGCAGAACTTCAGTCTTACAATGAAGCCTATCAGGATCCTTATTGGGTTTAAGCTATGGAGGATGAGTTGTTTGCTCTACAGAAAACTAAGGCCTTGTTTGGTTTGTTTTTCTAAAAAAATTTTGGAAAAAATTCTCTACAAACAAATTTTCAAGAGTAATCAAACCAAACAAATTTTTTCAAAAAAAATCTCAAAATTTTATTTGGTTACCTACTTTTCAAAATCACACTCTCTTTCATACACATCAAATCAATCACTTTTTTAAAACTCTCTCTCCAAAACAATTTTTCAAAACCATTTTTGAAAAAAGACAGACCAAACAAGTTTTCGTACTTTTTATCTCAAAAACTATTCTACAAACACAAACCAAACACACCCTAAAACTTGGGAGTTGGTTCCTTTGCCTGCTGGTAAGAATCTGGTTGGTTGGAAATGGGTCTACAAAGTCAACACTCATTTTGATGGTTCTCTTGAGCGCTACAAAGCTCGTTTGGTGGCCAAAGATTTCTCCCAGAAATATGGTATTGATTATGAGGAGACATTTGCTCCTGTTGCCAAGATAACTATTGTCCGTACTTTGATCTCTGTCGCTGCTGTTCGTTCTCAACCTCTTTATCAGATGGATGTTAAGAATGCTTTTCTTAATGGCCATCTCACTGAGGAGGTTTACATGCGTCCTTCCCCTGATATTCACCATTCCTCTAGCCAGGTTTGTCATCTTTAACGTGCTCTGTATGGTCTGAAGCAGTCTCTTCCTGCTTGGTATGATCGCTTTTAGACAGCTGTTACTGAGCTTGGATTTCATCCTTCTGCTTCCGACTCTGCTTTATTTCTAAGACATACCTCAGCTGCTGGTTTTGTTGCTCCCTTGCTATATGTGGATGATATGATCATCACTAGCTCTGACTCTTCTGCTATCTCTGAGGTCAAGCAACATCTCTTCTGCAGCTTCGAAATGAAGGATCTGGGACTATTGCGGTATTTTCTTGGTATTGAGATAGCTTCTTCTCCCAAGGGTTACTTTCTGTCCCAGGCTAAGTATGCCAACGAGGTTATCCATCGTACCAGACTTACTGACACTAAGTTTTCTGATACCCTCATTGAGCCTAATGTAAAGCTCAACACTACTGATGGTGTTCCTTTAGACAATCATACGTTATATCGCGAGCTTGTGAGTTGCTTAGTCTATCTAGCAGTTACTCGTCCTGATCTTGCTTATGCTGTCCATGTGGTTAGTTAATTTGTTTTTGCTCCTCACTCTACACATTGGGCTGCTTTGCTTCAGATTCTTCGCTATCTTCCAAGGCTTGCTATTCTCTTCTACTTCTTCCTCAGACTTAGTGGCTTATGCTGATGTTGATGCTGATTGCGCTGGTGATGTTAATGATCATAAGTCCACTTCTGGTTTCTATATGTTTCTTGGCGATTTCCTGATTTCTTGGAAAAACAAGAAACAAACTATTGTTACCCGTTCTACTGCCGAAGCTGAGTATCGTGCTATGGCTCATGCTACTGTCGAAATTGTCTGGCTTCGTGATCTCTTATCTGACTTGGGCGTCCCTCAATCTTCTCTGACCTCTCTCTATTATGACAACCGAAGTGCTATTCAAATTCCTCATAACACTGTCTTTCATGAACGGACAAATCATATTGAGATTGATTGTCACTTCGTCCATCAGCATTTGCAATCTGGCTTTATCTCGCTTCCTTTTGTCTCCTCGGTTCTGCAACTTGCTGACTTCTTTACCAAGACTCACACCACTGCTCGGTTTCGATTTTTTCTTGACAAACTCTTAGTGTTTTCTGCTAAAACACCTTGAGTTTGAGCGGGGGTGTGAGAATGTGTTCTCCTTTTTCCTTATAGGATTAGGAATTAGTGTCCTATTAGACTTCTATATATTAGTGATGTATTCATGTAGGATTAGGAATTAGTGTTCTATATAAATGATGTATTCTTTATCAATCAATTCAATCTAATATACAGTTTCATTCAGAAAACTTACAGCAGTATGCTCAGAGGGAATCGATGTGGTTGGTAAGTTGGGTAGAAAACTCCTGCTAGCGGGACTATTGTGTAAAATTATCAACGATATACAGGTTCAGCAAACTATGACAGAAATTAGAGCCTAACATTTGACTGTCTAAATTCACATTACCCTTTTCTTTTTCTTTTTTTGGGTTTTTTAGTTGTAAAAAAATAATTTGCATCAACAAGGGCAAACATGAATAAAACCATACAAGTCCATGCCCTTGTATATTTGAAACATTAATAAGAAACCCTTTTACAAAATTGTTTTATTCATATTTTCTTATTTTCGCTATATTTCTCCGATTATTTTAAAGATGTCGTATCAGTGTGTTCATATCATGTAGTTTCCATATCTAGTACTCACATCCATGCTTCATAGCTAACAACAAATGCCACAAATTGAAAGTTAATTGCAGCATAACCAGTCAAAATATCGTACCATACATACATCTTAACCATTTAATAATGTTTCCCCCCCATCCAGAAAACAGATGCAAGCATTCCAACTTTTTTTGGTTGTGCTTGCAGAGAAAGGAAAGATATTCATCTAAACACATGGGTGACTCTTTCCAGAAGTTACAGTATTTAAAGTAGTGCCTTCCTACAATTTGCTGCTCTTTAGGATGAATAGAAGGTACCTACCACATACAATTATTCCACTATCTTCCCAACGGATGTGGAGACAATGCAAGGTACCAGAGCAATGTCAACTTTTGAGGTTACTGTAGTTTCCATACAATCATAAAAACAGGAACAATGTGTTGAATTTTGGTTTGCCACTTGTATGCATTGTGTATACAAGGTTTCACCCTTTTGGCATCATAATAATGCATTACATTTACTTCTAAAAAAACTAAAACAAAAAATGTGTTGGATTTCAGTTGACACACCTGGTGAGCCCTATAAGCAAAATGCACACCCTGTATCAGTAAGCCTTCTTGAGTGGATTCCCTTTCTGAATACTGCATAGATTCAAGCTCCACTAGTACTCTCCTCATGTAAATCTTGGCAAGCATCATAGAAGACTGCTTTATCTGGAGAGACTTAAATATACAGGTCGGTTTCCATACATTACATTTCAACATGGGCACACATAGAAGGCAATAGATTGTCAATGAAGATAGATATCCTACAAGTGAAACTTCAAAGAATCCAATACTGCTCAGACAAGATCAATTAATTTTTTGGTGCACTCCAGGACAAATGGTCTTAATCACTATAATCTCTAGAGAATCAGGTTTCCAACCAGATACCATATTTCCTTCTTTAGAAGACTAAACTATAGACAACATGAGGAATACAGTGACTTCAATTGGCAGTATTCTGACAAATTTGAGTATAATAACTACAGATAATATTGTCAAAGAAGTTGCTTGACAATGTCGACAAACTCTACATCTTAGATGCATAGTCTAAAGCTTTTACAAAGAAGTAAGCAAGTTGTTTCCTTCCAATCCAACCGGTACTGCCAAGTCCTTAAACATTTTGTGAACTCATAGATGGGAAGAACATGAAGCTGATCAGCATGTTGATATTACAGCACAAGAAAGGCTCAGAAATCAATATAGAACTCATACTGAAAAAAAGTGCATGTATCTCATTTAGTTTTCTATTATTAACAAAAAAGAATATATAAATATATATAATTTTCTTTGCAACATTAAGTCCGACTTATTTCTCACAGTTTATTCTAAAATTTTCTTCTCGTAAAATTTTTAGTATCTATTAAATGCACTCATAGTGTGGGTAGCAGGGGCCCAATGAGATCCTGAAACTGGAGTCATGCTTTCTGATATATTAATCTTGCTACTGACAATGTACATTATAGTCGAGGACAGAAGTATGAAACGGTCACTTCAATTCGTTTGAAGAGTAACATCTTGAAAGAAAGAGTTTTCAATAAAAACAAACCTTACTAATAACTCCAGAGTCAAGCATCCAGTTGGTTGGAATTTTGAAGTGCTGATAAGAAAGCATAACTGAGTTTCGCAGCTTAATCAACTTTTGTATGTTGTGCTCTGACCTAGCACCATGACATGGAGCAACAACTAATTAAAATCTTGTCCATTTCAAACTGGATAATTGTGGATGAAGAAATACAATGTAGTATTGTTTCTCAATGTTCATACTTGTCAAGTAAGCCAGCCATCTTCTTCAAGGAAACTTCACATGGAACACTAGCATCATCCTTGTAGGAAGAAACTTCACTTTCTAAAAGTTTGAGGCCACGATATTCAACTGCAGCTTCTCGCATGGCATCTGCTTTCTTCTCAGGCCAATTGAAATGTTTAAGCACTGCCCGCTCATCAGCCTGTTAAAAAATAAGATACTAGGCAAATAATTAAAAGAATAAAAAACAAAATACAAATCTGCTGCACCAATTAAATTTTTTACCACTAGTCAAACAGCATGTTACCATCAACAAAATAACTCTATCAGTCAACTAAGTTCTCATTTAGTGCAAAGGGATGCAAGAATTATTTAGCACAAACTAGGATACCATTTTAATAAAATCACTGTTTTACCACCTCAATATACATGCCTCTAGATTGCTCAGCGTCAATTTGCCTCCACCGTATATAAGGTGACATAATACTGTGCAGTAGTAATGACAACATAATATTTTAATAGATAACAAGATGGTGACACTGCCTTCTCAAACACTTTCTCATACATTCCTAAATGGAGTACCAGAGATGTAAACAGAACACACTGAATAGATAAAAGCAAGTGTTGAAACCCTAACAAATCCTGCAGCATGTGTTGTTATTGTCATTGAAACCCTAACAAAGCCCGTCAACTTTTGGAAAGAAGAAATTACCAATGATGAGAGTTGGTTGTCAAGCCAATCCACAAATTTCAAAACATCTTCAATATCTGTGTAAGCAGCACCCACCACTTCCTCGATAAGCCTGTTTACAAACTCTCCTTTTGTTTCAATGTCTACTTTTATCTACAAGAAGAGTCAGTCACTAACAGTTCCAACAAAGGCGGCAACATTAACAGTAACACAAATAACAAATCAAAAGTAAAATTCTTTTGAGTCATAATCGTAAGCAAAGTTCAAATGCTTACAGCTAAAAGATGCGACGAACGTTTTTGTATTTCTCCAACTATGCTACTGTGTGCACTAATGATCAAGGGCTTATCACAATTCCCTGATCCTGAAGGGTTACTGCTCCTGTCACACTTTGTTAACATGTGACGAGGTTCTACAACTGGTGGATCCTTCCGGGTGATAGCTGATTTGCCAGGGGCTCTAGGTCGGGGAGGGGGAGGGGGAGGGGGATGTGGTGGCAGTGGCAAGTGGCATGCCGGAACATTGTTCTGTACATCCACGGCTATGGGTGTGGGCTTTGTAGATGGCGCCGTTAGCACCCTAGTAGGACTTCCATCGTTTATTGCCTCGTTCTTGAGTTTGGAGTGTTCCAATTTGGTGGCAATGAGCTTCTGAATATCTTTAAATCTATGACTCTGGTACTCCGCCCCAGACTCCTTCTTCATCCAGAAAATCCAAACATTAGGGAGGTGCTGGTGGGTAAACAAAAATAAAAATAAAAATAATAATAATAATAATAATTGAAGAGATATGGAAATTTTTTATTCAATTAAACACTAGAATCTGGCTTTCTTCATTCTTTCTTTTTTTTTGGGGGGGTTTTTTTTTGGGGTAAATGTAGAATCTGGCTTTCCTTTGAGATCAACAGTCGGAAATTTTACCTGTTCAAAAACAAAAAAAAAAAGGGAAATTTTGAGAAGTAGTAAATCAAGTGATGATTATTCCATGGCATGCTGCATCGTATCTTAGAACGAAAACTCAACTGGAGGATGGGAAAGCCAAAGGAAGAAAATTTAAAGGGAGCTATCTCTATCGAAACACGCATCTGCGACTCGGACCATTGAAGGAGCCAAATATGTAGAACCCAAATTGGTTACGATATTAGTCAATGATGGATTCGAAATGCTCACCTGATCAGGAGGAGGAGGAGGAGGAGGAGGAGGAGGCGTAGTAGTAGTAGTAGAGAGAGTAGCAATCTTTGAATGGGCAGCGGCAAGATCTTCGGACAGCTTGCTGTTGTGTGATTGGAGCTCTGTGTTGAAGCTCTGCGCTTTATCCAACTCTGACTTCAATTCCAATACCTCAGACTGTAAATTGGTAATCAAGGTTTCATTCCGGTCAAGCTTCTCCAGCAATTCTTCTGCCCTTTTCTTCCAATCCAAATCATCAGATTCATTCACCTTATTATTAGAGTTAGAATTAGAATTAGGATAGGTGGTGGTGGTGGTGGTGGTGGTGCTAGTAGTAAGCCGCTGCCGACGAGGAAGAGGACGAGGACGAGCGAATTGCTCGACAACAGGACGGTTGCCGGACCGACCCACGGCCTTGACCGCCTCCTGCTCAAAATAATCCTTACCCTTTTGAGATGATTGTGATGGAGATTTGGGTTTGCTGAGAACAAGGAGAGGAAGAGGCCTCCTCCTTGCCGTTTGATTATTGTTGTTGTGTAAATATGCATCCCGAGGAGGAACCGACTTGGCTCTTGGATTTGGGGATGGTGATAATACCCCATTATTATTTCCATTCTCGTTCAGATTCCCATTCAGATTCAGATTGAGGGGTGTCTGGGGTTTGGTCGGCGACGGCGAGTCCTTCGCTTTAGAGTTAGAGGAGGCGGCCCTAAGCCGAGCCGGCGTCGTCGAAAAAGAAATACCGCTGCTCTTGCTCTCAGCTCTTCTTCTTGTTGTGGTTAGTGGCGGTGGCGGTGGTGGTGTTGGAGAAATCTCTTGCTTCTTCATGGCTTGGCTTCAATCAATCTCTCGGAGACCCTATCACAACCATTTACCAACCGCCTGCAACTACACTGTATTTCTCTTCTCCTCTTTAATGAAAAGCAATAATGTTTGCGTTGACAATTAATTGATAATGGCTTCAAAATAGACCAAAAACACCAATAATATGTATAATTTTATATATATATATATATATATATATATATTTTTCACATATTTTTTTTTTTAATTCGAAAGTTGATATTTTAAATTTTTTACAAATTAAAATAAATATCAAATTATTATATTTATTCATATATAATTATAATGATGAACAATAATTATTTGAAGGAAAAGTTCAATTATTAAAAATTTAATGAGACTTGAAAGTTTAATAAAATCTTAATTAAGGTCTCGTTTGGGAATAGATTTTTTTAATAACTTTTTGACTTTTTGACTAAAATATGATATAAAAAAAATTAGTATGTTTGGAATGACTTTTTGACTTTTTATGAAAATATATGTAAAAAGTAGAGAGAAAAATAAAATTTTTGACTTTTTAGTATAGATTGTTGACTTTTTAATTTTTTAGTAACTTTTTGACTTTTTAACTAAAACAAGACCTAAGACTTAATAAAATATAAATTTATAAATTAAAACTTGTATGTAAATGTCCTTTTTATTTTAAGGCCTTAGAGCATCTCCAACGGTTCACCTAATTATGTTTGGAATGACTTTTTATGAAAAGATATGTAAAAAGTAGAAAGAAAAATAAAATTTTTGACTTTTTAGTATAGATTGTTGACTTTTTAATTTTTTAGTAACTTTTTTGACTTTTTAACTAAAACAAGACCTAAGACTTAATAAAATATAAATTTATAAATTAAAACTTGTATGTAAATGTCCTTTTTATTTTAAGGCCTTAGAGCATCTCCAACGGTTCACCTAATTTTTCACCAAATTTGAGTAAAAAAATGACCATTTTCTCAATTTGATACAGAATGCTCCAATGGTTGATTTTCATCAAATCTGCTCTAGGGACAACTGGTTGGTTGATCGGCCGGTCGACCGGTAAGGCAATTTTTTTTTTTTGAATTGTTTGAACCTACCTATTTGAACTGTTTGAACCTTTTAGTGGTCGATCGGGGTCGACCAACTGGTTGACCGGCAAGGCAAAAATATATATATATTTTTGAATTGTTTGAACTTGAATCTTTTTGTGGTCGACCGGTTGGTCGACTGGCCGGGTGACCGGTTCCTCTCCTCCAATGGTTACAAACAGTAATTTGTTGAAATCTGTATCTTGTTCTCAGTTTGATGATTTTTTTGTTCAATTCTCAATTTGATACCAGTTTGGTGAAACCGTTGAAGCTTCAAAAAGTGACTTTTTCACCAAATTTCAAATTTGATGCCAGGTTTGATGAACCGTTAGAGATGGTCTTATTTGTCATAACTTAAAAAAGTTAAAAAATCACTATCCTATTTAAGTCACATCAACTTATTTAAGTCATATCATCACTCTATCACGTCACTTCAAACCAACCCATACCCAACCCATATTTCATAAAAAATCAAAAAGTACACTTATTTAGATCATCCCAAACCAACCCTAAAGATAGTATAAATGAGAACAAGTACATTTGATAAAATATTTACAATCTCTAACATTTTTCAAATACACTCTTCTGCAATGAATGTTTCTCTTCCCTCGAGACCCCACTCACCTCTAATCCCTCCATCCCCCACAACCAACTCATATTTTATAAAAAATCGAAAAGTGCACTTATTTAGATCATTCCAAACCAACCCTAAAGATAGTACAAATGAGAACAAGTACCTATCAAAAAAATATAACAATACTTTGTAGCCTAAATTTTCATGGCTTGAATGGCTCGAATGTCTCAAAACGATATCGTTTTGGGGATAAAACAACTTTGTTTTGATATATTTGAATCATTTAGACTACACAAATTTAAATTACCAAGCATTTTTTTAAAAAATAAATAAGAACATATCTCACTTTTTCTTTTTTAAAAGCAATTTTTTGCCTGACAATTGTTTTTACAACAATGATTCATCCCTCATTTTCCCCCACCCTCTTTGACCCCCTCTCTCTCTCATTGGTTACATTTCTTTTTTTTTTCTTTTTTTTTTCTGCTCCTCCAATCACCACCCGCCACGTGACAAAGGGGGTGAGGGGGTGACCCCCAAAAGGGGTCCCAAGCATTATTCTTGTTTTTATTTTAAAAATTATTGAACAATGGACTTTTACCGCATTGGCTGTCCTACTAATTATTAAACCTAGCTAAAATAAACAGTAATGATTCAGAATATTAATTTTAGTATTTTAATAAAGTACTGATGACATAATAAGGAGAAGAAAAAAAAAAAAACAAATTAAGGCCTCGTTTAGAAACAGGTTAATTTAGTAACTTTTTTGTTATTTGGATAAAATATGAACTAAAAAAAAGCTAATGGGTATGTTTGGTTTGTGTTTGAGAGATGTATTTTAGAGATAAAAAGTACGAAAAGTTGTTTAGTTTGATTTTTTTCAAAAGATGTTTTGAAAAATTATTTCAAGAGAGAGTTTTAAAAAAAGTGATGGATTATAATTGATGCTTATCATTCACAAAATTGGCACCTAGCTACCTGCCTATGATCCCCATGATTATAATTGATGCTTATCATAAACTTCCAAATTGCATCCCCTTAAAAAAAACCAGAAAACGAACGTATTGTATTAATATTTGTTTATTCTAAAGGCTAATAATGCAACGGACCCAACTCAAATTACAACTTACTATGGTGTGATTGGTTTTTGAAGAATTGAACATCTATAAATTATTTTTTTAGTGTCGTTAATTTAAAATTATATATTAAATAAAAAATTTAAATTATAAATTTAATTTAATTGAAAATAATAAATTAAAAATTATGACCTTTTAAATTAAATTTTCTTAGTGTTGTTAAATTATAAATTATAAATTATAGATTATAAATTATAGATTACAAATTTAAAATTATATATTAAATAAAAATTATAAATTACAAGGGTAAAATAGTCTTTTGAACATTTATTATTATCCAGTCCGTCTAACTAAACATTGGATTCACTAAAAATAGTTCAATCCAGACATCTAAAAATAGTCTAATCCACACATCTAATCCCATGACTAAACAAATATAAGATACAAATCTAATCCAACCAAATAATCTGGGGGCAGTGTATCCAGGGACTAACAGTCTGATAGATTACAATCTCCCCTTATTCAGTCCTTTCAAACAAACACACCCTACGTGTAAAATTCTTATTAAATTCCCTGCTACATAATGTGAATCCATTGCAATATCCAACAAAAGTTGAGTTATATTGAAAATGACAACTCACATGTCATAACAATGAAATTATATTATTTTTGAAAATGTATATGAAGCGGAAAACAGTGGAATTTAAGGTTAGACCTCATTGACCTTCCTGCATGAGCAAGCTATAAGTTTTCATTTTTGCTTCTAATCTTGCTCGGATATAATTTATTTTCGTCGAACAAAATTTTAATAAACTAATTTAAGTTTTCACGTAATAAGCTGCAAATAGAAGACCCATAACAAAACAAGCAACAGGTCTCCTCCCCTGCCTGCCATTAGCCAGTGAGAGTTTTGTGCAAAAACTCTTAATTAATTTGCATGTTGTAAATATCGAAAATTCCTGTTTCAATCATGAACGAGTGATGTATAACGATTTGGGTGAGTTTTGGGTGCGAGACCATGTATGGGTAGTGAGTCATGAATCAAGATTCTCTCCTTGTATTTTTTTCTTGCAAGTTCATTGGGCCTATTTTTAAGCCCAATTTTGATATTTCGAACTGTTCATATTTTAAGATTTATTCAGTATATCATACCTGTAAAAAATCAAATTGATCGGATATCAGAAAGCATATGTTCGGAAAACTGTTTATTAAATTCTTTAAAAAAATAGTTTTTAGTTCAAGTTTTCCGAACACATGTTTTCTGATATTCAATCAATTTGATTTTTTACAAGTATGATATATTGAACAAATGTTAAAATATAAACGGTTCGAATTATTAAAATTGAGTCTAAAAGTGTGTCCAATGAGCTTGCAAGTAAGAAATGTAAGGAGGGAATCTTAATTCTTGAAAACTGGAAGGATGGGTTCGTGTGTTGGCGGGTGTATGGTAATGGGCTATGTTTTCTAAGAGAGAGAGAGTGATGATCACTCACCTTTGCCAAGCATGGATTCCCTTGAAAACTCAAAAAGAGACCCCTTCATTTTAACTTTACCAGTAATTCCGAGTCTTCCTGTGGCCATGCATCCATGCGGATACAGTGACCATCAGTATGTTGGCGAGTGAGTGCATACAGTGAGCCCGTGATTCAATGTTTATAATAATCTATACCTATATATCTATCTATTTCTATACCATTATTACGTGAAATCCTAAATTAATTTAGTAAAATTTTCTTATCTTCATGTCAAGTGGCAATTATATATATAGTAAAATAAAAAATTATCATACATCGCATAAGTAAATTTTGAATCCAAAATTTTACATTTCATTAAGAATATATTTATTACTTAAGTAATATATATATTATGATATTAAAATTTTTATTATTAGTTATCTGAATTGCACACGCATTGCATGTGCCACCTACTAGTTATTATTAAAGTGAACTTGGTATCCATGAAATTACTTCTCTCTTTTTGTCAAGTGATCCTTTCTTCTTACACTAGGTGTCAAATTCTTCATCTAAAAGGAAAAAAATAAAAAATAAAATAGTTAAAAAATAAAATACTTAAACCTAAAACCGTTCAGTTAACTTACTAAAGAATCCTTTCATCACTTAAATAATATAAAAAATAAGTTACCAATTCAAAATTAAAATATATATTTTAAACACACCTATCGGGTGGGCTCACATCCTGTGCGTATATATCTATATATATAAGAACTACTTAGCTATTTGAGATTCATTTTTTCTTTCTAATTTTGCCTTTTCGTTTTGAATAATTTACTAATGGTGGCCTATAGATTGAGTAAAGGTTTTTTTGTAATTACGCAAACATTCTTGGTCAATTATGCAATAGGTTTTTTCATAATTACGCAAATATTCTTGATCAATTATGAAACAAATTTTTACATAATTATGCAAACATTATT